GACCAAAAAAAAAAAAAACCAAAAAAACTCAAAAATATGAGTATCAACTAAAAATGGGTCAAAGGGGCTGGGAAGGTGGCTTAGTGGTAGACTGCAGGCCTAAGCAGCTCAGGCCAGGCCCAAGGCCCTGAGTTTAAGCCCCAGAAAACTGGAAAAAAAAAAAAAAAACCCAACAAACTCAAGCAAAGGGGGAGAGATAATAAAAAAAAAAAGCGGGGTGGGGGGGAAGCAGGAGGAAATTAAGGAGGAGATAACACCCTTCAAAAAGAACTGTACTCATTAACTTGCTTTTGTAACTTTTTGTAACCCCTCTGTTAAAAACAACAACAACGAAAAAAACCTTAACTAAGAATTTACACAGAGCCGGGTGTTGGTGGCTCACACCTGTAATCCTAGCTACTCAGGAGGCTAGATCTGAAGATCATGGTTCAAAGCCAGCCCGGGCAGAAAACTGTGAGACTCTTATCTCCAATAAACCACTCACAAAACCAGAAGTGGCACTGTGGCTCAAAGCGGTAGATCGCTCACCTTGAGCTGAAGAGCTGAGAGACAGCGCCCAGGCCCAGAGTTCAAGACCCACGACCGACCAAAAAAAAAAAAAAAAGAATTCACACAATAAATATTATGGCAAACAATAGGGCGGAGCTTCTCCACAGCCACGCCTACTTCCCCCCCCAGCCTTGAGCGCGTTGCAAGGCCCTGCTTTTACGCATGCGTAGTCAGCCAGTTAGTTGGCGCAGACTCCCAGGGGCGCGGAGTAGCTTGGATTTGACCCCATTAGGCCACCGTCGCAGTGACCGGAAAAGAGCGCTGAATGCTTGCTTCCGGCGATCTCCTCTGGTTCCTTTTCCCTCCCTCACGCTGTTTCCCCTCCCCCTGGTCCCTTTTTTCGCCGGGGTTTTGTTTTTGCTTCGAGGTCGACCCCTGAACGAGAGTGCGGGGTCTGGTGAGAGGAACATTAAAACGCTCGTAGTGGGAAGCAGGGAGGAGAGGCGAGTACTTCTTACTCAGGTATTTAAAGATCAAAAGCTTCTGTGAGGCGTTTTGTTTGTGGGGGGG